TCCCCTCTACCTGCTCCTTCTCCCTACACTGGTCCTACTGGAGGTCTTGCTGAGCGTCGTGAGCCTGCGTCTCGTCCCGCGTCACCTGTTCGTGCTGCTCGCACTAGTGGTCGTATCGCGCGTCTGCGTTCTCCTGCGGTCCCCGGCACACACCAGATGGCACTGCGTCCTTCCACTGCTCCTCTGCATGTCCCGTTGCCGTCTCCTCCAGATTCGTCTCTTCCTTCTCTTGCTGACCCGGAGTCTCACTTCCTTCGTGCTGCTAGTCGTTCCGTCACGCGCCTTCTTGCTACTGTTGTCACTGACCCTTCCTTTGAGTCTGCTGCTGCGTCTGCTCTCGTTGCTGAGCTTGTCGGCTTCGCTGCTCGCTGTCGTCTAGACTACGCTGCCAGTCATGTTGCTGAGTCTGAGTCTGTCTGTCCTCCGTCAGTCGAGGGTGAGTGTGCTCTTAGCACGTACGTCCTTGAGGACAGGCCGGAGGAGTTTGAGTGCTTTGCGGCTGCTTTACCCCATCTCGTGTCCACGCTGATTACCCCTGAGGGAGACCCGGATGTACCAGACATCCCGACTCCTCGATCGTACGCTGAGGCGATCGAGGGTCCCTATTCCTGTGAGTGGAAGTCGGCCATGGACGCAGAGATGGCTTCCTAGAAGTCCACAGGCACATACGTCGACGAGGTTCCCCCACCTGGGGCGAACATCGTCAGTGGGATGTGGATCTTTAGGGTGAAGCGGCCGCCGGGCTCTCCACCTGTCTTCAAGGTGTGTTACGTGGCTTGAGGCTTCAGTCAACGGCAGGGAGTTGACTACTTTCAGACCTTCTCTCCCACCCCGAAGATGACCATTGTTCGGGTGCTGCTGCACATACCTGCTCAGCGCGACTACGAGCTTCACTCTCTTGACTTCAGCACTGCTTTCCTGCAGGGCAGCCTGCACGAGGAGATCTGGCTGCGCCGCCCTCCTGGCTTCACTGGGTCGTTTCCTCCTGGCACCTATTGGAGCCTCCGGCGGATAGTCTACGGTCTCCGCCAGGCGCCCGGTGAGTGGCACGACACACTGAGGACTACACTTGCGGCTCTTGGGTTTGCTCCTTCTACAGTCGACCCGTCGCTGTTTCTACGCAGCGACACCTCTTTGCCGCCGTTCTACATCCTCGTGTACGTCGACGACCTGGTCTTTGCCACTGCTGACACTACTAGACTCGCCCACGTGAAGTCCGAGCTGCAGAAGAGACACACGTGCACAGACCTGGGTGAACTGCGCAGCTACCTTGGCTTGCAGATCACCCGGGACAGAGCACAGCGCACCATTACCCTGACTCAGTCACACATGGTGCAGCAGGTCCTTCAGCGCTTCGGCTTCACGTACTCCTCGCCTCAGGCCACTCCTCTGTCTACTCGCCACTCGCTCTCAGCTCTGCCTTCGGATGAGTCCGTAGAGTCGAGTGGCCTGTACCCAGAGCTTGTTGGCTGCCTCATGTACCTGATGACCTGCACTCGACCTGACCTTGCATACCCTCTTAGCATTCTTGCACGCTATGTTGCTCCTGGGAGACACAGACCGGAGCACATGGCTGCAGCGAAGAGGGTGTTGCGCTACTTGTGCAGTACGTCATGCATGGGGCTTGTGCTTGGAGGGCGAAGTCCGGTGGTCCTCACTGGGCACGCAGACGCTTCTTGGGCGGACGACCAGGCTACGCAGTGGTCGTCACAGGGTTACACCTTCAGCCTTGGTTCTGGCTTTGTTTCGTGGCGGGCTACCTGCTTGTCTTCTGTTCTTGGCTCCAGTTGTGAGGCTGAGATCTACGCAGGGGCCATGGCTGCACAAGAGCTTCTCTGGCTCACCTACCTGCTGTCTGACTTTGGAGAGGTTCCTCGTTCTCCTCTAGTGTTGTACGTAGACAACAAGGCCATGCTGGCCTTGTGTCGAGAGCAGAGACTGGAGCACAGAACGATGCACATTGCTCTTCGCTACTTCCTTGCTCGTGAGCTGCATCAGCGTGGTCACCTGCGTCTTGCGTACGTGGCCTCTGAGGCCAACACTGCTGATATCTTCACCAAGGCACTTGCGCCTTGTGATCATCAGCGCTTCTGTACTCAGCTTGGTCTTGTGCCTGTCTTGCCTCACTTGCTCACCTCTTGACCTTGCTTGTATTGTTACATATATATACACCTGCTCTTGCTTGTCTAACTTTCTATATATGTTTCCCCTAGCGGCCCGTCGCCGCCCTTCCAGGCCCCTCGCGGCCCCTTCGCGGCCCGGTCGCCGCCCCTATTGGTCCCGTGGCTGCCTCCAGCGGCCTTGTCGCCGCCCCTATCGGCCCCGTCGCCGCCTCCAGCGACCCCGTCGCCGCCCCTCGCGGCCGCGCCGCCGCCCCTATTGGCCCCGTCGCCGCCCCTATCGGCCCCGACGCCGCCTCTAGCGACCCCGTCGCCGCCCCTTGCGGCCCCGTCGCCGCCCCTAACGGCCCCGTCGCCGCCCTTATTGGCCTTGTCGCCGCCTCCAGCGGCCCCTTCGCCGCCCCTTGCGGCCCCGTCGCCGCCCCTAATGGCCGCGGCGCCGCCCCTATTGGCCCCGTCGCCGCCTCCAGCGGCCTTGTCGCCGCCCCCATTGGCCCCGTCGCCGCCCCTTTTGGCCCTTCCTCGACCTTGCCCCGACCCCGCCTCGGCCATGCTCCGTCGCCAGTCGCGGCGCATCGGGGGCACGTGCACCGCCCCCCCCTCTTTTCCCGTTGCCTGTCGACGTGGGGGGGGGGGGGGGGGGGTGGGGGAGGGCGAGCGTCGCCCCTTTTGCCGCCTGCTTTGGCGCCCTAGGAGGCCGCGCGTCGGCCCCTCCCCCTCCCCCCCCCCCCCCCCCCGTAACCTCCCTACCCGCCATCCCGTCCTGCCCTGTGTTAGTGTTTGGGGGTGGCGAGTAGGGGGTGGTGGGTGTGTGGTCTCCCCTGCTCCTCCTCCTCCTCTGTCTCCCACTGCTGCAGCTGCCGCTGAGGGGGGTGGGTGTGTGGGAGTCGACGGAGTGGTGCTAGGGGGTGGGGCATGAGTGAACGTAGGGTGCAGCAGGGGGTGTGTGAAAGGGGGGTGCTGTGGGAGTAGAACTAGGGTTTGAGCAGGGGGTGTGTGTCGAGAGGTGTGGGGCAGCTGGAGGAGGTTGTGTGAAGGTATCTGTCGTGTCGCCTGCAGCGCCTGTAGTCCGTTGCCCTTGCTTTGGTAGCTAGTGAGCCTCTTGCACCAGTCGCCAGTGGGTCCGTTGCTCCTACCGCTCGTCTATAGCCGCGGAGCCAGTTAGTCCAGTAGTCCGTCGCCCTTGCTTCGGTAGCCACTGAGTCAGCCGCTCCTGTGCCCGTGCCTCTGCAGCTTCAGTCGTTGCCTCCCATCTTCTCTCCCTCCACAGTTCCTCCTCCTCCTCACTTGTCCGCTGTGATAAACTCTAGCTTTGCTCCCTTATGTGAACTCCTGCTCTATGCCTGCTTGCTCATTGTGCTGATTACACTCCACTTTGGCTATGGGGGTGTGTCAGAATGTTATAATTGTCTAGCCTGCAGTGGGGTACTCTATAGCGAGTACGACCCAATTAGGGTTTCCTATATGTATGCCAACTGCTGCTAGTGCAACCACTTTCTTCTTCATTCCTCATTCTTCACACACATATGGGGTACAACACATTTCTAGGGTTTGTACTTGTACCCAACTTTCCCTTAGTCATTCTCATTCCTCGTTTCTTATCAATATATCCTCTAACCATGTTGTCCGAAAAGCTCAACAATGTCCAATACGCTTGCTAGTCAATGTTGGATGTTGAAACGACAACATGCGTCGCTCAGGCGTATAAGTGTATAGTTGTACCTTGGTCCCATATGGTCTTGTCAAACATATATGCTGCTTATTATGTAGGCTGTAGTGGGGTAGCCTATATGGGGTACTAGCCAATTAGGGTTTCCTACTTGTACCCGTCCTGTTGCTAGTTCATTCATTCCTGTTCGTTATTTTGACATGGCATCAGAGCAGGTCCTAGCCTAGGACCGATTTCTTAGGGCCCACCGAGTAGCGCTACCCCACCCGTCGCGCCACTGTGATTGCGTTGCCCCGCTTTGCCCTGCGGCGCCTGCTGCAGCGCGCACCGCTTTGCCTGCGCGCCGCCTGCTGCAGCTCGCCCTGCCCTGCCCGCGCGTCGTGTCGCCGAGTCGCCCTGCCCGCGCGTCGCGCCGTGCACCCTGCCCTGCCAGCGCGCCGCGCCGCCGCGCGCCCTGCTATGCCTGCGCGTCGCACCGCCGCGTGCCCTGCCCTGCCTGCGCGCTCTGCCGTGCGCCTCTGCCCTGCCCGCACGCCGCCGTCGCGCACTCTGCCCTGCATGCGCGCCGCGCCGCCGCGCGCCCTGCCCTGCATGCGCGCCGCGCCGCCGCGTGCCCTGTCCTACTGTGCGCCTCTGCCCTGCCAGCACGCCGTGCCTCCACGTGCCCCTGCCCGGCCCGCGCGACGCGCCGCGCGCCCTGCCCTGCCCGCGCGCCGCGCCGCCGCGCGCCCTACCTTGCCCGTGCGCCCTGCCCTGCCACGCACCCTGCCCTTCCGTGCGCGCCTTGCCCTACCACACCCCGCTCACTCCTGCACTGCTAATAGCGCGCTCACCTGCTTGCGTGCTGTGCGACTGCTAGAGTGCCCGACTATTCTGGCCGCTATGGCCACTCTCAACATTCTCACCTTCAATTCGGAGGGCTGCCCGATAGAGTTCAATGCGTGGCTAGACGACTTACAGCTGTTCCTGCTGACAGACTCTAAGGACGGTACTTTGCTGTTTGACCTCAATTTTGGCGCCTCGCCCGCCCCTAACGCCACAGCTGACAGTGCGACTCGCTCACAATGGCTTCCCCGTGACGCTGCTGCTCGCGTAGCCGTTTGCAACCACCTGCCGTTAGCCGAACGCGCCAACTTTGGCCAGCATAAGACAACTAGAGCACTGTACGACGCTGTAGTCGCTCGTTACTCCTCCCCGGCCACGGCTGCTCTATGCCACCTTCTCCTGCCCTACCTGTTCCCAGAGCTGTCCGCCTTTGCCACAGTAGCCGACCTCGTCACTCACCTTCATACTAGTGACACTCCCTACCACGCTGCGCTTCCCACCGAGTTTCTCACCAAGAACCCTCCTCCCATGTACATCACTCTCTACTTCATAGTCATCTGCCTTCCAAACTCTCTTAGCGCTATCAGGGACCTCCTTCTAGCCGTTGACCCACCACCCTCACTATCGACCTGCTCGAGAAGCACCTCCTTGCAGCTGAGACTAGCATAGTCGCTGTAGGTGCTTCTCGTGGCACTCCTCGCACTCCCTTCTTTGAGGGGTGTTCGCCCTCCCCCCTTCTCCCCTCAGTCGCCTCTACTGCAGCTGTTGACTACCTTCGTGCTGAGGAGGTAGGAGCTGCGTCTGCCCCTAGTGGGAGGCGCCGCAGCGGCAAGGGCAGGGGAGGCAGGAGCGGTGGGGGTGGCAGAGGTGGAGGCGGTGGTGGGGGCAGTGGAGGAGGTGGAGGGGGCGGCGGTGGAGAAGGTAGTGGTGGTGGGGGTGGAGGGGAAGGTGGCGGCGGTGGTGGCGGCAGTGGGAGTGGTGGAGGCGGCAGTGGTGGCGGCGGTGGTGGCGGCAGTGGGGGTGGAGGCGGCGGCAGTGGTGGCGGCCGGGGAGGTACCAGCTAGAGGGGAGGCCTTGGAGGTGGCCAGAGGCAGCAGGAGCGTCAACCCCTTTCGTCTCGGGAGCTCCGTGAGAGGTTTGCTCAGCATGGGGCAGCTGGGGGTAGTGGTCCTTGCCCGTATGTCATCCGCACAGGTGACCGCACTGGTCAGACATGCGGGAGGCCTCACACTCAGCACCGCTACTTCTACCGCCCTACCGACGCCTTTGGCGCAGATTGTCGTGATGCACCTAAGCTCCCCAACTAGGCGGAGCTGCTTAAGCAGAATGTTGATATCTTTGCTCTAGACTTTGATGCTATCCTTTCTGCCATGTATGCATTGACAATTAGTGCTGAGGGTGACTATTACCTGTGTACGCCGCCAGACCCAGATATAGAGGCTGCTACTCTAGTTGCTAGTGATTCTGCTACCCTAGGTGCTGGTGAGACTGCTCTCTCTCGTACTGCGTGTGCTGCGGCCCTGTACACCTTCACGCTTGACTCAAATGCTTCCCGCTGTTTCTTTTGTGACAATACCACAGTCACACCGCTCTCTGCACGTGATGCTGTCTCTTTGGCTGACCCCTCTGGGGGCCCAGTCCTTGCACGTTCCTCCACTATTCTGCCCTATCCGGCAGTTCCGTCTGGGTCACTGTCGATCTCCACCTCCCCTCGTTCTCTACAAACTTGGTGAGCACTACTATCCTCCAAGATGCGGGGGTTGACACCTTCACCCTTGGATGGCAGCGTGTGGTGATCTGTATGTGCTCCCGGCCCTCCCTGCCTGCCCCTCCCTGCCTTCCTTGTGTCGAGGGGCTGCAGCGCACTACTCCTCACTCCTCCTCGTTCCCCTCGATAGAGGCTCCCCTGCAGACTCTCTACCTGGACGTGTGGGGCCCAACCCGCGTCCGTGGACAGTGCCACGAGCGGTAATTTCTACTGGTTATTGACGACTACTCGCGTTACACCACGGTCTTCCCCTTGCGCCGCAAGGGGGAGGTCCCTAATGTTCTGATCCCTTGGATCCGCGTTGTTTGTCTCCAGCTCCGCAAGCGGTTCAAGGCGGACCCTCCACTCCTACGTCTGCACTCTAACAGAGGTGGTGAGTTTTCCTTTGACCTCTTGCGGGCCTTTTGCCGTGCGGAGGGCATTCGCCAGACGTTCACGCTTCCGGCCTCTCCGCAGCAGAATGGGGTTGCTCAGCGCCGCATTGGCTTAGTCTTGGAGGTTCATGATCCATGCGGCTGCCCCCCATTTTCTATGGCCGTTTGCAGTCCGGTACGCTGCGCATCAGCTCAACCTCTGGCCCGGTGTCTCCTTGCCGGAGACCTCGCCCACAGTGCGTTAGACAGGGGAGGTTGGCGATGCGTCGGTGTTCCAGGTCTGGGGATGTCAAGCCTTTGTCCGCGATACGTCCACGGACAAGCTCTCCTCCCGCGCCGTTCCTTGTGTCTTCCTTGGCTTTGTCCCTAACGCGCCTAGCTGGCAGTTTTACCACCCCACCTCGCGCCGTGTCCTGCCCTCTCAGGACGTCACGTTTGACAAGCAGGTTCCCTTTTACCGTCATTTCCCCTACCGCACGTCCCCTCTCCCTCCCCCGCCGCTCTTCCTCGCACCAGGTCCTCTTCCGGTAGACCCCCTTCCTCCTCACGGTCCTGCTCCCTGAGGTGTGTCCCAGGTAGACCCTCTCGAGCCTGTCCAGGTTGCTGTCGACTCTGGTGCTACTATAGGTGTTGCGTCTGGGGGTGCTCAACTTGCGGGTGCAGGGCCTGGGGGTGCTAGGCGTGAGTGTGCGGAGCCTGGGGGTGCTGAGCTTGAGCAAGCTGAGCCTGGTGTTACTGTGTCTGACGGTGCGGAGCCTGGGGGTGCTGAGCCTGCGGGAGCGGAGCTTGGGGGTGCTGAGCCAGAGAGAGCGGAGCCTGGGGGTTCTGAGCCTGGGGGTACTAAACCCGAGTGTGCTGAGCTTGGAGGCCCTTCGGGTGTCTTATCACGGCTGGAGTCTCTCTCTCCACTGCAGCTGCGAGAGTGGTTTGTTCGGCACTGGAGCCTCCGGAGTGGTGCTGCTGGAGTTGGAGCTGCTGGAGGTGCTGGAGCTGCTAGTCCCGGAGGTGCTAGTACAGGGGGTATTGGAGCTGCTAAGACTAGAGGTACTGCTCGAGCTGCTGGAGGTGCTGGAGCTGCTGGAGAAGGAGGTCCTGCTAGCGCTAGAGCCACTGGAGGTGCTCCTGGAGCTGGAGTTGCTTGAGGTACTGGAGCTGCTGGAGATGGAGGTGTTGCTGGAGCTAGAGATGCTGGAGGTACTAGAGCTGGAGCTGCTGGAGGTGCTGCTGGAGCTGGAGCTGGAGTTGCTCCTGGAGTTGGAGCTGTTGGAGGTACTGGTGCTGTCGGTAGTGGTGCTAGAGGTGATGTGCGGCCGTGACCGTACTTTGTTCCACTACTTTAGCAGGTTCTTGGTCTCCCACCTTCTGCTGACCTTGCTCCTACCTTTTTGTGTCTACAGCCTGACTAGTCTTAGCCATAGCTACTGCCAGCCTCCCCACTACCTGCTCCTTCTCCTAACACTGACCAGCCCGGAGGTCTTACTAAGCATCGTGAGCCTGCTTCTCGTCTTGCGTCTCCTGTTCGCGCTGGTCGCACTGGTCGTCGTGTTCCGCGTCCGCGTCCTCCTCCCGTCCCCGTTACGCACCAGATGGCACTTCGTCCTTCCTCTGTTCCACTTCGTGTCCCTCTGCCATTTCCTCTTGCGTCCTCCCTTGCTGACGGTCCCGACCCAGAGTCTGACTCCCTTCGTGCTGCTAATCATACTCTCATGCGTCTCCTTGCCACTATTGCGTCCGCCTTAGTTGCTAAGCTTGTCGACTTTGCTGCTCGCTGTCGTCTAGACTACCCCGCTAGCCTTGTTGCTGAGTCAGAGTCTGTCTGTCCTCCGTCCATCGGGGGTGAGTGTGCTCTTGGCAAGGACGTCCTTGAGGACAAGCAAAAGGACTTTGTGTGTTTTGCAGCTGTTGTACCTCTTCTCGTGTCCATGCTGATTGCACCTGAGGGAGACCCGGATGCACCAGACATCTTGACCCCGCGCTCTTACGCAGAGGCAATAGAGGGTCCCTAATCCTCTCAATGGAAGTCAGCCATGGACGCAAAGATGGCATCCTGGAAGTCTAGAGGCACTTACATCGATGAGGTTCCCCCACCTGGAGCGAACATCGTCAATGGCATGTGGATTTTCAGGGTGAAGCGGCCGCCGGGTTCTCCATCTGTCTTCAAGGGGCGTCACGTTGCACAAGACTTCAGCCAGCGACAGGGAGTTGACTTCTTCCAGACCTTCTCCCCTACCCCGAAGATGACTATTCTTCGGGTGCTGCTGCACATCGCCGCTCACTATGACTACGAGCTTCACTCTCTTGACTTCAGCACTGCTTTCCTACAGGGCAGCCTGCACGAGGAGATCTAGCTACGCCACTTACCTGATTTCACTGGGTCGTTTCCTGCAGGTACCCAGTGGAGCCTCCGGCGGCTAGTTTACGGTCTCCGCTAAGCGCCTCGTGAGTGGCACGACACATTGAGGACGACTCTTGTGGCTCTTGGGTTTACTCCTTCTACTGCTGAACCATCACTGTTTCTGCGCACCGACACTTCGCTGCCGCTGTTCTACATCCTTGTGTACGTTGAAAACTTGGTATTTGCCAACGCTGACACTGCTGGACTGGCCCATGTGAAGTCAGAGCTATAGAAGAGACACACGTGCACAGACTTGGGTGAGCTCCGTAGCTATATTGGCTTGCAGATCACCCGGGACAGAGCAGAGCGCACCACTACCCTGACTCAGTCACACATGGTGCAGCAGGTCCTTCAGCGCTTCGACTTCCAATACTCATCGCCGTAGTCCACTCTTTTGCCTACCGACCACTTGCTCTGCCTTCGGATGAGTTCGTAGAGCCGAGTGGCCCGTATCCAGAGCTTGTGGGCTACCTCATGTACCTGATTACTTGCACTCGACCTGACCTTGCTTACACTCTTTGCATCCTGGCACGCTACGTTGCGCCCGGGAGTCACCGACCAGAGCACTGGAAGGCCGCAAAGAGGGTGGTGCGCTACTTGTGCACTACGTCGAGCATGGGGCTCGTGCTTGTAGGACGGTGTCTAGTCGTCCTGAGTGGTCACGTAGATGCTTCTTGGGTTGACGACTTGGCTACGCAGCGGTCGTCACAGGGTTACACCTTCATCCTTGGCTCCGGTTCTGTTTCGTGGCGGTCTACCCGCTCGTCTTCTCTTCTCAGCTCCAGTTGTGAGGCTGAGATCAACGCAGGGGCCATGGCTGCACAAGAGTTACGCTGGTTCACCTACCTGCTGACCGAATTGGAAGAGCCGCCTCATTCTCCTCCAATTCCGTACGTCGACAACAAGGCCATGATTGCCTTGTGTCAGGAGCACAGACTGGAGCATAGAACGAAGCACATAGATCTGCGCTACTTCCTTGCTTGAGAGTTGCAGCAGCGTGGTCAGCTTCGTCTTGTTTACGTGGCCTCTCAGGCCAACACTGCTGATATCTTCACCAAGGCACTTCCGCCTTGTGATCATCAGCGTTTCTGTACTGTTTTAGTCCTTGTGCCTACTTGGCCTCTCTTGCTCACTTCTTGACTTTGCTTGTACTGTGATCTATATACTTATATCTGCATGCTTGCTCTTGCTAGGTTGTGGTCGCTGTCTTGCTTGTTCTCCTTTACATATTACACTGCATGTGAACTGGCCTTGTGGCCATTTGTTTTTGCTGATAATGTGTAGTGACTTCGTGATCCACCGTGAGCTTGTTTTGCTCTTGTTGACTGGTCTTGTGACCTCTTGTTGTCCTCTACTTTGCATATGGGGGTGTGTCAAACATATATGCTGCTTATTGTGTAGGATGTAGTAGGGTAGCCCATATGGGGTACAACCCAATTAGGGTTTCCTACTTGTACCCATCTTGCTGTTAATTCATTCATCCCTGTTCGTTATTCTGACAAAGTGGCCCTCTCGGTTGCTTGATTTGTATTTATATTGCCTTGAGAATAGATTTCATCAATCCTACCCACACAATAGAGGACTTGTTTACGTTGTGGGCTTCGGTTTCCATTTCATAGTATTATAGAATCTGAGCTTCAGTTAAATTTCTTCCTTCCCAGCATGTTTCAGAGCGTTTTGTGGGTGGGTGGGGTAAAGCTGCAAACTTGCTTGCGTGTCAAGCGTGCATTGCTTACGTACATCTTGTTTGTTGTTGCATCCCAGCAGCCT